TCAGTTTTCGATCACGATTTGGATCAAAGCATTCATTCTCGATCAACAATGCAATAATTTTAAGCAAGTTTTGGTTGTACCAAAAAGCTAATTCCTGAAAATATAAGACAAAAAAAATTAGTATATAAATAGAAATCAGTAACATCATATTTTAAAAGCAAGCAAAAAAAGTACGACCAATTTATGGGAACTTAAATAAAAATATTAATAAAAATGAGGGCTACCATGATACTTTGAATCACGTAATCATTTATGTATGATATCATATACTAGTTAATAATATAAATGACAAACGTGAAGATATATATTAAAAAATAATGCAATATGGAAAAAAGTTATTATCTTGATTATTCTTAACAAAGTAAAAAACAAATAAAAAAAAAGAAACACCAAAGAACAACAAAGGAAAACTTATTAAGATAAAAGAAAAACGTGATTATTAGAAAGCATTGAAATATTTTTTTTTAAAACGATTCTAAATGCTGGCCCAATTGATTTTTCCCGTTTTTCGTTCGAGAAATTTAATCTTCTCCGCCTCGTTAGATAGTGACATGAAGATTTGACGACCACTTTCATCTGATGCAAGGTAATCAATTGCAGTCCAATACAACTCGCTATCATGGTCCAAAGTAGTCATCTTCAACATCGCTTGCATACACACGACACGCTAAACAGATTTAAAGATTCAAATGTTTCTCGGCCACCTTTCTAGAACTTTCCTTGATCTTCAATGGCAGTGGTAAGACGATCCCACTTATCTGGATTACCTTGCTTGCTAGACGATCCCATTTTAGCTTTTCCACGTGAAGCCGATCTCTTAAACGGTTTAACTTGTTCCACTTCTTCATCAGATTCTATCACTTGTGGAAATGAACTCGGCGGATCACGGGGCAATTGTCTTGGTCCACCAAGAGGTTGCCATCCCTCATTAATAGAGACCATGACTCGAGCATAGAGACGATCAAGTAACGGAATATCCCGTAGAGGATGTGTTCACAACTTGGAAGCTTCTGGACAACTCTGC